TAATAGGACCATCATCTGAACTTCAGTGCCAGTAGCTAAGTCACTGTTTACATCTATGATGGCACTTTAGGAAGCTAAGGTAACTTGATAAACCTTCTAGCTTAGCCTCCACAAGCCTTGGTCTGTCATGTGCTAAAATGTATTTGGTTATTGAAATACTGTGTTATTGGTATTTTATTTTCTGATTGGTTATAGATTTCTTGTCAGTTTATCTGTGGTGTTCTGCAGTAATAGAGCAACTCTTGCTTAGGATAAGGCCTTAGATGGAAGGAGGGCAAACCACTTCCTTTTGTCCATGGTGGAACTCGCGTTTTAATGAGTGTAGCTACTTAACCTAAAGGTTTCAAATCATTTTATAACCTGAAATAAATCATAAGCGTACTTCTAATAATGGAGAGCTATAGCTTTTTGTTTCTCCAGTGTGTTGGGAATTGCTTTGGATGTCTAAATGGCATGCATTCAGCAACATCAGAAGAAAGGGCATATGTACAAATGATCTGTATTTAGACATATGTACAGTTTCACTTTGGGGATCTTTAGTCCTCTTGAAATTTCAGTTCTTACTAGAATGCTGTCGGGGTTTTTCTGAAGCAACATGTAGCTTGGCTGAATCCTCCACATAAATTCTGACCCTTTCTCAAATTGTTACTGATTTGTCTTCATAAGCATCTTTAGTTCTGTTCTTGTTCAGGAACATCTTTGCTGGAAAGCAGCAAGGTTGTGTTGTTTGTTTTTTTTTAATATTCCTTTTGTGCCTGTTCTTTGTACTACATGCTAGTAAATTACCTTAAAATTCTTTTTTTTCCTGGAGTAGAGACATGATTGCAAGAAAGATTAATACATTTGTATAAACAAGTTACCATATGACTAAAAGGCTGTTAATTTATTTATAACTTTCAAAACTATATTCAAAGGTATGTATTACTCCTCTCTCTTTCTGGAACATTTTGTTCCAGGAATCAACTTCGTGGAATAGTTCCCAACTGGCAGTTGTCATAGGTGGTGTGACACTTCTGTGAGTTGGTTGTTTCTTAAGTGCCTTTTTAGTTTTCTATACAGCTTATGAGAGCATGAACAATTTTAAATCAGTAATAATTGCCAATGTGAATGGGTCTTCTGTCACTGGGTTTGAACATACCACACATGTATGCCCCTTTTAAAAGTGAAGGCGTCTAGAGTTACCAGCTGTGGTGCAATGCAGTTTCTCATTTTTCAAGTACATATATACTGTAAAGTTTCCTCCTAATAAAAGCTATTGGTCAGCTTGGGTGTTGAAGGCCTCCTGGAATGTACAAAGAAACTTTCCAAATTCTTCAGCATTGTGAATAGAGAATTTAGTAAAATTAATGGAGATACGCTGTTGTGGATCCTATTTCATTATCTAACTACTTTCTTGTACTGCATCATGGTTTTTTTTTTTTTTCCTTATAGATTCAAAAATATGCAGTTAAGAACTTGCAAGGAACCCCTTTTGATAGCAAAGACTTGCCTGCACACTTTGCAACTGACACCTACCTGACTACACCACACACGTAGAAACGGCACCGAGTTTTCCTATAGGAATAGTAACGCTTAGAGTCTTTTCTCAAATGTGCCATATATACCGTGTCAATGGTACCGATTGTATCGCTTAAATGTTCCTGAAAACTTCAGTGCAGGTCCTGAATCTCTGTGTATTTTAGTGACCTAAGGTGATTGATAATGCTTCATGTTCTGCTTACATCATTATTTTGAAATTTTGTTTTTGTCTCTATACTGAGATATATTTAGAGAAGCCCATGGGGTATATGTCCATGCAGTTCTACAGTTCAAGCAGGGATGAAGATTTTTGTGGTATATTTTAAAGAGTTGTAACCCCTAGAACTATGATTATATGTCTCTCATATCAAAAAGTTTGTTTTTGTTAACCTATATGATATGAATTATGAAAGCTTACAGTCTAGAAAACAGTCAAAAATAATGTTACTTAGCATTTAAAGCATCACTTTGTTTATCAGAAACACACGTTTTTTTCATGATTAGTGAACTTCTGGTATAACCAGGGGTTGCCTCAGAGAAAAGGCTTGTGTAGCCTGTGCTGGATGCCTTGGGAAATACCTTATTTAACATTCATGTAGTGGCTAAATAAACCACCCTTTTTCCCC